TATTCTTTTCCCAGAAATGGTAAAAAATGAAAACTTGTTTCAATGTTTTGGTAAATATCGAAATATAAGAAAGCAAGAACTTTTCTTTTCCTACTACTCTAGAGAGCAGGGGTGAGTAATGGTTACTATTCTCTTAATTTTGTATTAAGGATGCTTACTATTCTCTTACCACATCTATGTATCTCCATTTTGAACCTAAAGAACACTTTTCTCTCTTTTTTGGGTGTCTTTCTTCTATCCTCCTGGCATGTTGTCTCAAGATTTGTCAATTTGGTAATGGTGCATTCAGTGTTATCACCTTATGCATTTTAGTGGTAAATAGAACATCTTTGTTGGAACTGTGTTAATTACTTTATCTCCACTGTCAGTGTTATCTTGACATAAAAATATTAAACTTCATTAAAATGCCTTATTGGTAGGAACTCCATATGTCTCGCCACGGCTGACTCCTTAAGCTCCAAAGATTATATCCATAAGTGGTTCCACTAGGGGTTATTCTGCTGCTGGGTCTCCCCAGAGAACTGGTGCAGATTCTCCAACAAAGCCCCAGTATGGTGGGACTTCACCCTCGTGGTACTTGTCAAGCCAGCAGTCATCCGCGGCTAGCACTCCTTCTCGACGGCATTCACTGCCAGGTATCCTGATAGTCCAACTCATTTTGTTTGTCTATGACCAGTTCTGATCCAGTTTTCTTGTATTTTTGAAATAATTTCAGCACGGAGTCCTCGAATCGATGGGAAGGAATTCTTTCGTCAAGCCAGGTAGTACTTTATTCTTTTTTTCAAATTATGGTCCTTGAAAGTTCCTGGCTCCTCACAAGCTGATTAAAATATGTGTAATGAAGGAGTCAGCTTTCGTATGAACAGTTCAGTGCTTTTTGGCAAACATCAAGGAACTGAATGCTCAAAAGCAAACTCGAGAGAGGTAATATTATTCCAGAGAGTTGAGTGTCAAATGTTTTGTGCATGCTAAAAGTGTTCCTCTTCAGGAAGCTCTGAGCAAGGCTGAAGAGATTTTTGGGGCAGACAACAAAGATCTGCTTATATCATTCCAAGGATTGCTAAATCGCAGCATTCGCTAACCAAAAGGAAAATCATGAGAAAAATCATCCCGATTACTTATTGAACTAACTCAATGGGTATTTAAACGAGTAAATTAAGTAACCCAGGAAAAATCCCTAATAATTAATTCCCAAAAAATGGTAAATGATAACGTGCGATAGTCTTAATATACGGCTAAAATAAGCGTTATCGATTTTATTATTATTTAAATAATAAAATTAGTAAAAAATTTAATAGAAATATTATTATTTCTACCGTTTTGTTAGTATTAGGTGTTTTATCGGTTTTGTTAACAAAATCGATAAAACGCTACCGGTTTTGTTATTGTTGCCACTTTACTGAAAATGTTAAAAAAGATTGATATTTTAGATAGAAATAATGATGTTTTAGGTATTTTTTTTACTCATTTTATTATTTAAATAATAACAAAACTTATAATTTTTTTAAAATTGTATACTATACTGTATAACTTCCCAAAAAATGCGTAAGCTAATTGGTGTGGAGTTATCACACATGTGGAGTGTGATATTCATATATTTCATATTTTTATTAACATTTTATATTTTTTATATTTTTATCTTTAAATGTACGGAGTAGAATGAAACTTTCTTTTAAACTCATTATTTTTTTATAATCATAATTCGAAGGCTACAATTATAAAGACATCTTTAGTCGACATAACAAGATATCATATTATAGGGTAAAGTACACAAATGATTCCCAATTATAAAGTATTATTTTATTAATTCTCTCAACTATTAAAAATTATAAAATAGTCCTCTAATTATAGAACGTTGCTTTATTAGGTTCCTTTACTGTTAAAGGTTACAAAATGATCACATGATTATTCATTATGTTCCAAATTCGTAATTTTTCGTTAAAAATCAGCATTTGTCAAAGTTGGACATTAGCACGATGATTAAGATATAATAGTCGTTTGAGATTTCGGGGTCGGATTTTATCATATCACAGTCAATAGTTAACGTTCAACACAGAAAATCGTCAATTTTTTTAACGAAAAACGATGAGTTCATAAGATAATGAATTGTCAAATGATCATTTTGTAACTTTTAATAGTCAAATGACTCAACAAAGTGACACTCTATAATCGGAATATAATTTTATAACTTTTAATAGTCGAGATACTTAATATAAAATAAAACCCTATAATCGATGGACCATTTGTGTACTTTACGCAATATTATAATACAATTATTCTTAACATAGATCCGACCTAAACCAAAATAAGAGAGACGCATCGCACAATTTCTGCACTGCACTGCTAAGAAAATGTAGAACCTCCAAGCTTTGCCCTATAATGGAAAAATAAGATAGGAATAATATATATAATTTTTTTGGCCAAACTTCACCAGCTTTTCTCATCTTGTTGATGCCTAACCTGAAACGTTTCAGAGAAAGATGAACATGATCACAGCTGCCAAAGTTTATTCTCGTGAATTTTAATCTTATATCAAAATTAAAATAATAAATTTATTTGATTAAATAAGTTAAAATTTATATCAAAAGTATATTCATTTATTAATTCACACCAAATAATTTGGGTTGAATATGTTAGGAGTCCTTGTCCTATTTCAAAATTTAAAATTTAGTTCTTATACTTAAATTTTGTGAGATGGAGTTTCTGTATTGTTTTTTATTTGAAAATCTTAGTCTCTTCCCTACTTTTAATTCAATTCAACCAACTTAACTGCTAGCCTGACAGGAAAAACAGAAGGAAAAGTAATTTTTAGCCCCCTATATTTAATTTTTGATCAATTTAACCCTTAATCTTTAAAAAAACAGAAAGGAAAAACAGGGGCTTAATTTTTTTTGTTTGTTCAATCCTTTTTTATTTGAAGTTTATTTTTTTAACAATATGTTCTTTAATCACTGTAAAATGTAGATATAGCTTCAATTTTTAATTTTTACAATAGATTTTAAGTTTTTGTAATTTAGTCCTTAGCTTTATATGATTTTCTTCTCTTTTTCAATTATTCCTCATTTTAAGTTTATTTTTGATCAAATTTGAACCACATGCTCCTCAACCAATTTACAAGTTACCAATTTGTAATACTTATGAAGTTTTAATTCCTATTTGTTGACAATATTTTTTTTCAATTTAGTCTCTCAACTTTACATGATTTAATTGTTTCTTTGATTCCTCTCGTTTTAAGTTCATTTTTACCAAATTTGAACCACACGCTCCTCAACCATCGTAGAATACATATGTAGAATCAATTCTCATTTTTGACAACAATTTTTCTTTTTTGTATTTAATCCCTAATTTTGCATGCTTTCCTTGTTTCTTCACTCGTCCATCGTTTTAAGGATATTTTATTTGAACCACATGATCCTCAACCACGATAAAATACTTATGTAGCTTCAATTCCAATTTTGACATCAAATTTCCTTTATTTGCTCCTCTTAAATTTGCCTAATTTCCTTATTTATTCAATCCTCTTTCATTTTAATTATTTTTTTTATCAAATTTAAACTACATGTTTTCAATCACCGCAGAAACTAGAATGCCTATGTAGCTTTAATTCCTATTTTTGACAATAATTTTACTCTATTTATCATTTAGCCTTTAATTTTGTATGATTTCCTTATTTCTTCAATCCTCCTTCGTTTTAAATACAATTTTGACTAAATTTGAACAACATGCTCCTTAACCACTGTAGAACACTATTTAGATTCAATTCCTAGTTTTGGAAACAAAATTTTTCTATTTTTCATTTAAGTCCCTTAACTTTGCATGATTTGCTTATTTCTTCAATTTCTCCTTCGTTTTAAGCCCATTTTTCTATCAAATTCGAACTACATGCATGCAACTTCATTTTCTATTTTTGAACACAAAATTCTTATTTCATTTTAATTTAGTCTCTCAACCTTGTATTTTATTTAATCTAGTCCTTTGATTGTTACTCTTTGCAAATTCTTTATTCCCACCAACTTTTTAACTTATTTATATCCCATCAATAATATTTCTCGAAATCCTTATTTAAAAAATAACATTATAAATATATTATATGACTTTAGATGATATTCGAATTATTAAATAACATTACAAATTTTATTTATACATGTAAAATGGAATATATATATATATATGGTTAGAGAAAATTGTTTAAAGTCAAATCAATTAGACATTCTCCGGGTAGTAAATGATTTGTTGTTATTCCTTGAAGTCTCGGTTTCAAGTATTACGAATGTCATGGATTTGAGCATTCATTGTCAAATGATTGAGAGTTATCTTTGAACAAATATTACTTTGTACTTGCCCATATTACTAAAAGGAATTGAATAAATTTGAAAAACTATTTTTAATTCAATCCAACTCTAGAAAATCTTTTGTAAATTCGACTAACTCATTTTTTTCATTCGACTCGACTAGATCGAACTCTCGCAACATCGGAATAATAAATTGGCTTTTCAAATTCAAGTTAAAAAATTTTCTATTCTAATTTGACTCAAATTCAATTCAAAAGAAAATATCTTTTGAGTATCACAGCCGCAACAGCTTGAAGGAAAATGGTGCACTTCCATATTCCCTATAAAACTTGCACTCAAAATCATACAACACCACAATCCAAACAAATTTACCCATCATTTGATTTCCCTCCTCAATCTCTCCTGTTTCTTCTTCCTATGGCTTCTGTTCCAGAATTCTCCTCCGATTATTCATTCTCCGATAATTTCACTCAGTTCCAAAACCCACTGCTGATCCCCCAAGAAAACTGCATTCACGGTACAACTCCCAGCTCTGCAACAAGCGGTGAAGAAATAAGTTTCCCCATGTTTTTGGACAATGGCGGATTCGCCGTTTTCCAACAAGAACAAAGAAATCTTTCACCTTCAGTCCCAACAGCTGTTTTTCCCGACAACAACGTTTCTTCTGGTTGTGGCTTTGATGGCGGATATCAATTGCAAGATGTCTTAGATGAGTTTGGAGAAGAATGTAATAGGATTCTTCATCAGGATTTCAAGCCAGTAAACATGGGAGACAACTGGGTATACGGTTTTATCTGAACCATTGATTATAGAAATTATGAATACTATGTTTTTTTTTCGTCTGATAGGGAGTTCAAGGCAATCGAATGGTGCCGGCGGTGCAAGACAACAATCACAAGGTTGTTCGGTATTCAGTAGAAGAAAGGAAAGACAGAATTCTTAGATATTTGAAGAAGAGAAACCAAAGAAATTTTAACAAGACAATTAAGGTCTCTTCTCATCTCTTTATATATCCTACAAAAATCATCGAATGTTGTTCTTCTCAGAGGGGTATTTATTATCACGATCAATCATAACTCATGAACAAACACAGTATGCATGTCGAAAAGCACTGGCTGACAGAAGGGTTAGAGTCCGAGGAAGATTCGCGAGGAACAACACTGAATTACATGAAGATGAAATAGAAATGAGAAAGGAAGATGACAACTCTTCACCAATTAACAAAAACTTGAATTACTTTTATTCCCTACAGGCACTTTATTAATTTCCCACTTCTTTTTCATAAATTCAAAACTTCAAACAATGATGTTGCCTTGTTCGAATATGGAAGTACAAGCAAAAAGGTTCTTAAATTCCCGACTCTCGTTGTCAAGTACATTACCAGTGCTAAGGTTAAAATGACAATATGTTTATCAAATTGTCATCAGTTTCCTTTCAGATTTTTTTAAAGGGTTTAGAGTTGTTTATTTTAGTTGTGAGAAGTATTTGATGGCACAGTTAGGGTTGTTTATTTCGGCTATTTGTATGCTCGGGTATTTTTTTTGGTATCCCAAGGTGTTCCCAGGTTTCGCCTTAGACTAATCCTCCGAGGTAGGTACTGTCGGGCACGAAAGGTGGGGACCTCTCCCAAGAAGGTTTTTTTGCATTCACAAAGGTTCGAACTTAGACCACTTGCTTAAGCGACCAGAGCCCCTTCCACTTAGGCCAACCTTCGTTGGTTGTATGCTCGGGTATTTAAAGGGTCGAGTATCATATTTTTCGGGTATCAAAATAATTGGAATGTGATCAACGGGATTGATTTAAGTGGTAAGCAGTTCGATATTGCTTAATCAAAGTCTATTCCGAAACTTGTGTATGCAGAAAATCTCGGCTGAAAGTGTGCGACACGGGCCCGTCTGAGTTAATCAAGATGAAACCTTGAAACCGGATGGGGAAAAATTGATATGCGTATTAGTACATAAATTTTGGGTACCTATAAACCGGATACTTATAAAATCTGGGGATTCGCTAATTCAAATAACAAAATATTCAATACCTATTTTATATTATTTTTACAAATTTATTAATTTTAATTTTTGAAAAGTTCAAAAACGAATAAACTTAAAAGTTTAAAAAGTCTAAATTACATAATTTAAACATAGAATTTTAAAGATTTGGTGAAATAATTTTAGGGATCCAGGTGATGGTGTGGTTATATACTATTCATTCTAATTTATTTTTCTAAAAATATCTAATAATTTTCAATCTGATCGACGAATCGAATAATACAAGTAAAATATTTTTAACACCCCTCGAAACAGGACCCCAATTTAAAGTGTATCATATGTTAATTTTATATATATCCTAATTTTTTAAGGTGGTATATATCTTTGTTAATAGAGTAAAGGTGTGAAATGGTAAGAAAGGTCCTAAGATTATGAAATGAAAGGGGAATATTTGAGTGAATTAGCCTTGCACCAGTGGTTCAAGTTCAATAGTCCAATCATTTTATTCATTTGATGCCAAAATCATCACTTCATTTCTTTCTTCTTAAATCACTCCTATGATCAAAACTTAGCTTTACATATTTCAAGAATTCATTGAGTGGCCATATTGTTTTCCCTATAAGTAAAAATTTCCACAAACGACCCACAACTTTTGTAAAATGTCAAATTAATCGCGCTAGGACATATGCACGATTTTATATTAGAGGTGTGAATTTAGGAAATTATATTAAAAATTTAGAGAGTTTAAAATTATAATGTTTTAAGAGTAAAAAAATTAAATTGTCAACAGAAAATGCTTAAATTACATTTTGGGATTTGACATTTTCAAAGATATAACTTCAACCCAATACTCCCTTGATCCATCCATGAACATATGTCTATCACATTTTTTTTTTAATTTCAAGATGAAAAATACATAGATAATGGGGAACATAAGAGAGAGGCATAGTTATACTAACGAACATGTACAAGGAAGCAATACAAAAGGTCGCTAGTGATAATGAAAATCAAGTCCTAATTGTATATTTACAATATTTTAATGGTCATAATGATCACTATCATTGTATTAATCAAATCCACCTGGGTCAGGTAGAACTGAGGTATATAATATATGTGAGAAAAAGGAAGCAGCCATAAAAGCATAAGAAGCAGCACAATCCACTCTAGTATGACCATAAAGACTCGGCCATGTTAGCCTGATCAGCGACGTCCACACAAAAAAAGGACTTGGACTGATGAGGCGGCAAGTTCTCGGCCGAGCCTCTGCTCGGATTCGACGATGTCGAACCGAATTGGCGCATTTTCATCTGAATCACCTCGGCTTGAGCAAGTGCCAATTGAGTTTGCAGAGAATCGACCTGTCGTTGCAACGACGAAATCGTCCCGACGCAGCCGTATACGGGGTCACGAACCCTGGCGTTTGCCTCGTACACCATCGAACTCACTGCATCACTTCGTTGGTGCTCCGGCAGTTCCTGCTAAGATTAACCAATCCTTGTTTAGGAAAATCTATCGTTTTCAATCATCATTGCAGCTTCTTTTTCTTTCCCTTGTTGGATGTTGAGCGGATTTCCCACTTTGGGTCAGTTTCGTTTTCTTGATTTTCATATTAAATTATTAAGCATATATGAAGATTTTGTTGCTGGCTTTCACACGTATGCATGTCTTCCTTTTGAGTGGTCCAAAAATTATTTGATAACAAGATACAAAGATTTCATTGTTGCCCAGTATGGTTAAATTGTTCAATTAATGTAGAAGATTATATCCATATTTACCTATATATCTATATCTATATATCTAAATTTATTGACTATCTTTAACGTTAAAATATAATATTATTCTCTTGGAATCTATTAAATAGTTTCGGTGGTTAAAATGAATATTTCTCTTTTTAGAGAACCTGGGTTCAAGCAGTGCTTGCGTCCGTGTATATTATGAACAAAAACTAAATTATACACCACATACCACTCAAAATAAAATATTGATCTCTTTAAATGATTTAAATTCGAGTAATTACTTCTACAAAATGTATGTTACCAATAAATTAAAAATATATGTTGAGAAATATATATTATTTTAAGTATATATTATACATAAAATCTTAATATTTTCTCAATTATTTTGTGGTTTATTGAAATACTTACGTGAATGTATAATATTTATATTATATACTAGATTTTATCATATTTCATTATGTTTTATTGCAAGTGAAAAATATCATGTATAAAAATGCATTTATTAATTTAACAAATAATATTTGATGATGTGGTAAATAATTTGTTTTTAAATTTATAAATCGAGTGTCCAATCTTTTAATAATGACTTTTAATTTGTTTAAAAATTATTGTTATGTATATCATATGTAAAAAAATCCGCAAATAATCTTAGACAATTATCACCATCCTAATCCCATTTATGAAATAATAGTGTCTTAAATAATAATTCTTTATTTAATTTAAAGATTACGTAAAATAACAAACAAAATATTAAAATAATACGTATTACAACTTAAAATAAGAATAAATTAATAATTTTAAACTAGTCAATTAACCAACAACATAAAATATATTTAGACTTTTAAATATAATATGTTATTAGTAAGGTCACCTTCACACATCATATTGTGCAATAATATCAATGTAATTGAACCAATGTTTAATAATTCAAAATGTGTTTTCTTGCATCGTATATCACGTCCTTTTACGACCTAATTATTTCACACCTGCCACTATCAAAGTAATTAAACCAATGTTTTTAAAGCTTCCATTTACATGTTCTTTTTTATTAATCTATAGTGCTTGTAAACGATAGAAAGACTCTCCATCATTTGATCATAAACTTTAAATATAATATAGTTTCTGATGTTCGAATTTAAATTCTTTAAGAGTAACAATTATTTTTTTAACTACTGAAATAACTTGGTTAGTATTAATTTTTACATGTATTTTCTATAATAACGATGATAATAATTTCATGACTTTGGTTGGGTTTAAAATATTCAAAAGTTTCCAAAGTGGCACGAAAGTTGAAGCTAAGCACTATAGGAGTCTTAAGCTTTAAACCTCTTCACATGTCTGCCTTCCTAAAAAGCTAAAGCCAAAGTTAAAATTATATTTAACCCATTATCCTTCTTTTGGCCTCTTTTTATTTGCCAGGAATCCTTTGGTAAAATATTGATTTTCCTATTTGATAAAGGAATATAAGATTAACAGTCAACCTTTAAAAATCAATCAATTAACAGTAATTAGTCTCCTTGGAAAAAAAATTGAGAAAATGATAAGAAAATGTATTTTTTTTCTTGTATATTTGTATCTTATTATGAATTTTTCTAATGAACGTTTTAGGTCCAAATTAGTTTTCTTTTTGGAAAGATGATGAAGATGCTTTTGCTTTCCCAATCATTTCCTCTCTTTTGGCCAACTAACATTAGACAAAACCCTTTGTTTCCCAGTCATGGTGCTTATGCATGCATGCCTGCCTGCCTGCAATCTTGTGCTAAAACCCTAAAAACTATGGAAGAAAATGCTACAGAATTCATTTAAATAAAATGAAAATGATAAGATCGTGGAGAGAGTAACGAACCTGTAACATCTTGTTAACATTGCTAGCACCAAACACCTTATGGACACTAGCAAACTTGTGAGGCTCATCAGCCGGAAAATAGGGAGCGAAGACGCAGTCCGGTGCACATCTCCGTCTGAGTAACTTACACGCCGCGCATGGCGATAACGCGCCTTGCTTTTTACCGTTCTCCTTCATTCCTCCTCCTCCTCTTCTTCTTGATAAGCCTGGAACAAACTAACCCTAGAAGCTTTCCACAATGAGAAGAAAAGATGTAGGAAGGGGAGGGGAGAGTTGAAGGAGGCTGGGTGTTATATAGAGAGATTCTTATGTGACACCAAATCTAGTGGGGGCCAAAAAAGCAAAGCCCTAGATTTCCTAGACAAAAACATCGTTTTTCATTAGATCTTTAGGTCCATTCTTATGTGGTATTTTTTAATTAAAAAAATAACTATTTGTAAAGAAAATAAATCATTGGTTTAATAATAAAATAATTTATATATGGTATTTTCTTTGAAATTTTAATTGATTTGCAGTAAAATAATTTGCAATAAGCGTATGAGGTTGACATCAAAGTCCAAACTCATCCCTTC